CTTCCGAGTTAATTGAAGAACAGTGTGTCAAAAACGTAACAGCGTTACGTTTGGACAAGCCGTGTTATTCATTGATAACTACAAATGATAAAGTTTGTTCAAGTTTTCAATGAGTAATTGATATCGAAAAAATTCATTTATGTGATCGATCTATTCTCATGAAAATTGATGAATTGCAATGTGTCGAAAATCTCCAATTTCATTCACAATCGGGTCTAATAATTCAATCGCTGGACAGAATACAATTTTATTTTTCCCATTTCGATGAGACTACATGTGTATTGAAATTCAGGATTAAAGGTTGTTATCAGAATGGCTTGTTTATCTGAAAAAATTATTATAAAGCCATGTTTCGAAAATAAAACAATTTCAAATCTTCGAGAGAACGAAGCTTCAGAAATGATAAATACAAAATATTCTTCAAAAACCCAATATTAAAACGATTGCTAGTTCGGAATTTTGCAAAGTTTTTGAATAAATAATCTCTATTCATAAGAGTTGATAGAATTTCATTTCGAACTTACAAAATGAGCTTGTTTGAGATCATTCAATCATGTACGTTGAAATGCAGAAATCAAATAAATCATTTTGTAAATGTTTTGTCTAATTAAATACGATTTTTTTCATGTAAACTGCATCTCAAATCTTTTTTACCTTGCTACCGTTGCTAGTTATTCGATCTTCAAAAGAATTTAAATTATGCATTTGAATATTTTCAGTTGTAATAAAATTTCTGTACCGACACGTGAATGTGTCATCTGTTTCGCTGACCAACCCGAACAAGATTTCGATTCTATATACGCCGGAGCATGTCGACATACTTGGCGCTATATTTGCAATTCATGTACGTACGACGTGGTCAAACATAGTCTCAATGGAATGATCAGCAGCCAAATATCCTGCCCAGAATTAGGTTGTCCAGTCAAGTGGAGTTCAGACGAAGTTCGTCGGCTACTTCTCGTCAATAATGATTCTGCGTTATTGGAAAAATACGATACTTATCTGGCTAGACACTTGCTTGACAAGGAAGATCATTTCTTTTGGTGTGCGCATGAATGCGGTTCTGGTCAGTATGATTATAGAGGATCAACTCAAAACTCAAAGATGACTTGTATCACGTGCCAAGAGGATACATGTACTTTTCATCGTGTTAAGTGGCACGAAGGCATAACTTGTGATGAATATGATCAATTGTATTTATCTGTTGCTCCAATGACGCACGATCGGATTGAAATGAATTCGGAAAAATGTCCTGGATGTCAGTCTAACATCGAGGAAAATGATGTTAGCGATCAAACGACTTGTCTAAGATGTGGATATTATTTCTATCAGAATCGTCCCGTCAGCTATTCTCGTCCGGAATTCCAACGTCCGCCAATAAAAAGCAATCGTGAAAATCGTTTACAAAGAAAATTTGCGTCATTTACTCGTTTTTTGGGATTTCGAAAACATTCATAATCTTGAATCGAAACAGTTGTATTGAACCAACTCCATAATTACTCAAGACATTCGTTTCCAATCATACACTGAATTTTTATCACGACTTTACTGCAGAAAACGATACGGAACTCGTGTGTTCATCTCATTTTATTTATATATCGGTTCATGATGAAATAGCTTGACGCTGTCAAGAACTTTCATTGTTGAATTTGGTATCGCTTCATGAGTTGACAGCTGCAAAATAATTAAACTTGTAATATTTTTAGATTTTTCTCTTTTTTTACAGATTTTCTATCGAGAAAAATTATTTTACTAAGAGATTCGTTTTTGCATTTTGTATAAGAAAGTGAAGAACAGCTTTCTTCTACATTCGCGAGGTAAAATACGATTTGAACAATTCTAAACATAGCGATACAGATCATATAAAAAATCTTCTTTTCTGTTTTATATGAAATTTGTGACCTTTTTTTGTGCAGTTTTCAAGCATCCAATTACGATTCAAATATATTTATCTATTATTCAGAAAGCTTATCTTTTTCATCATTGTCTTATCCAAACTCAACGCGAATACAAATATATAAGCAGATGTTAGAATGTGGATAATGAAGCGAATACTGAGAAATAGAGTGATTTTCCATCGTTTAGCATACGAGATTTGCACGAAATTCTAGTTTTCGGTGGCGTGACTTAATCATCTATTTTTGAAGTAATATAAGTTTTAATCTTTCAGAAATATTTTGATTAAACAGTTTTGCTTCGTTGAAAAGCGAAACTTAAAACCCATCACACTGAATTCTTTTTTTTTTGAAAACTATGAGAAAAAAGCTGTTCAGTTTGATATCATAGATTTCAATGAAGCTTTGCCTTCGTGTAGCCCGAAGTGAGATGTGAAAATATGAAACAAGTTTATATTCTACAATCGGTCTCTTGCCTAGATAATGAAATCGCAACAGGACCATCTTCATGTAGCAACGACGATCAACAACTCAGTAATTACTTATTGTATATTTCCTCGTCTTGTGACAAGAATGTTTTTAGTTATAAAATAGACTTCAAATTTCTGGCGCTTACAAATAACTTACGACAATGAAATGTGTATTAAGCTATTTTTCCTTTTATTAAAAAAAAAGATTAAATCTAAATCTTAACTTTTCTTCAAATAGAAAAAAACAAACAAAAATACTAGAAATCATCATTGAGATGAAAAGCAACAATAACCTTATATATCTGACTAACAATAAAGACAGGAAGATCACATATCTGTATAAGATCTATATAGTTGGAGATCCTAACACCTCTGTCCCTTATCAGCATGGGCTACAGAAATGCATTAACCAATACAAACATATGTGCGAATAACATCGCGATTAAGATATTGAGCATTGCCTTGTTGATTTTTTTTGTTTGATCATATGTATAACACACATAGATATACAAAGATAGAAGAAAATCGTCTGCAAAGTCTAAATGTATTAACTGAATCAAACAAATCATTTTTCATCCTACATGATGCTTATAATATATGTTAGCTAATGTGTACAAGAACGGGTTAGTTTTCTTCGATGAAGCTCATTTTTAAAATTTTACATATTAGTATTAATGTGATCGTTTTGTTTTAGAACACCAATATTTCAAGTCAATTCATTCTTGTGTTTCATCAATGTAGCCTACATGGATAAAAAAATTATTTAAGTAAAAGTTCTGCTTTTTATCACAAGTCAATGAGAAAGAGAAGCAGGGGTGTTCTTTTTTCAACAAATGTATATCAAATTCTCTAAAAGTAATCGGCAAGAGTGGAAAAAAGTATACTAGAGGAATATGTTTCTTTTGTTGACTATTACTATTTTGTTTTACCTCTCATTTTGATCATTCTACTATAGTCATAATCTTGTCACGCTTGTCATTTTCAAATGTTGAATCATTTCTTTTTTGTTCTTGTTCATATTATGTGTATGTTAGTTAAGATGATATTATCTATCAGCTTGTTATTGTGTTCAGTAATTGCTGGTTGTTTACAACAGAACAGAAAACCATATAAGTTGCAGGGCCATACAATATGTCAAAAGATCGATGTCTGCATTTACAAAATTAGTTCAAAGTATGTTAGAGCATGGCAATTTTCCTTTATAATCCAGGATAATTTGTCAACTTTTTAATATTTCATTGAACATCTCCTTACATTTTCTCCTCTATCATCCAATTAGCTTGAAGATAGTTGAATACGAATGTGGATTCAGATGTTAGTTCCGATGTGAGTTGGCTTTCTAGTCATATAGAGACTTATACAAAAACCTTAAATAAAAATATAGTTTACAATTTTACACCATAAAAACTACAGCATGCTGTGCAGTTGAGGCCTATAACTGATCGGCTTAAGAGAAAACAAGAACTTGTGCAAGATAAAATCAATTCAGAAAACACGAGTTAATAAGGGCAAATTTAATGTCATTTTCGATCATCAAGAATATGTTGATTGAATTCTTACATTATTAGATAATGATCCAGTAATTAATTATGGGAGGTCCCAGATATGGACATGAATCGATCTTTGTTTCATACATTTCCACACCTACAGTGCACAATTCAGTATAGCAAACAACTGAATGAACGTATCATACAATGAGATGCTGACATTGTCCAGTTAAAGAAGTTAATGACATTATGTTTCGTAAGGTTAATATAGCATGGATCTCAGTAGCTGTGCTGTCACTGTAGTTGTTAGTCTCTTAGTTTTGCTATTAGTATAATTTTAAAAACTTTTCGTGTGTCTATACTGTCTTGAGTGAGAAAAAATGCAGAAAATTGTATTTTAATTCAAAATAAATAAACACAGACTAGTAAAATTTGTGCTATATTAATCACATTTATGTATCAAGGGAAAGCAAAAATATGACTAGATATTCCGCCTCAAAATGAAGAAATATCGGAAAAAGTGTTTTAACAATAAAGATTAACATGTTTTAACAGAAATCGTGATTTTAGTATATGTGCTTGAGTTCTTTTCAGTGATAAATATATACGATCCACTCTTATCTATCACGAGATATGCTAACTTGAAAATTCAACTAACCAAATTTCTACAGTTAATCATTTAATAAACATCTTTTTAAAAGCCTATTGACGTTAGAACAAAATGCTCAAGCGTTCTATTATCAAGGGCTCCGTTGCGTATCTTTTCTTAATGAATATTTACGAAACGTCGATCAGAGAAAGATCAATGTGAATTATAATTACGTAGCATCGTACTCAGATTGAACATATAACACTGGCTTAGTGTATATTTGATTCGAATAATTGTTGAAGTTTTTTCATACTCGAAAATATATCCTTGATTCCACTAAGGAATGCAACAAAAATTACATGAAAACACTATTTAGACAATATGAACGATGAGGAAGACGACAGAGATGTTTTTGATGAAAAAACTAATTCAGAAATTCTCTCAATTATACATAGACCAAGTCTTCCTTCATGCTAAGAATAATAGCGAGTCGTTAGTATCGCATTACTCGCCGAAAACTTTTTTGAAAATTTAGATCATATTTTATAAATCACATAAACTACAGCTTTTGACGAAGTTTATCAAGATATTCTTGATTTTCTTTCACTTCGGAATGATCACATCTGAACAGAAGACGAGTCATATTAACAGCTTGTTGTGCATATTCTACAGCTTCTTGACACGGATTAAGACGTTCAAATGTCTTGGCTATATTATTACAGTTCGCTACTACTTCTGGATCAATCACTTGAGAAGATATTTGTTGAATATTTAGTGACGTTTGATAGTATGAAAGAGCATTTGAATAGTTTTTCATTAGATAATGCACCATTGTGATTTTATCACATTTGTTAGCCAATAATCTGTATGTCGGTGAAAAGACTTTTTCTTGGATTTCGAAACTCTTTTGAAAGTGTCATAATGCTATCCAATAATTTTTCATTTTATAATGTATGATACCGATATTTGTATGACTTAAAGCTAGATCTGGATGAACAACTGAAAGCACTTTTTATCGAATTTCACTAGAACTTTTTCATAATATGACAATGCTATTGACTGATTTCCAAGATTATCGTGGGCGACTCCAATATTATTATAGATACTTGCAAGATCAGCATGGTTTGGTTGCAATGATTTTTGTAGAATTTTAAGTGTTTAAAAAAAAAATAAGACATTGTTCTAGAGTTATCTTACATGTGCTGATGTACTACTACACCAATATTAGTTACTATAGGTAACGGCTAGTCTGGATTGATTCGGTGACAGAGTAGCCTATTCGATGTCTAGCCCTTTTTTATAGTATTTAATTGCAGTTGAATAGTCATTCTTTGAATCATATACAAAACCCATACTATTGTAAGTGAGTGCTAAATCTATATGACTCGATGGAAGAAGTGCTTTTTCAATATCAAGAGCTTTCTTGAAAATATTCAAGGAGAGTTGAATAGTCCTCTGTTGTAGCATAGGCAGAAGCCATGTTTTTATAAGTCTTTACTAGATCGGGATGCATCAATGGAAGACTTATTTTTTGTATTTCGAGTGCCTTTTGAAAATATGAAAGTGCAGTTGAATAATCATCCATCGCATCATAAACGATACCCATATTATTGTAGGTTTGGCTTGGTCTAGGATGAGCAGTAGGAAGAGATGGGTGTGGATGAAGGGATGCAGTAAAGTCGTGTCAACACCGTCACATACACTCCACGGTTCCACCGACCCACACCCACACCCGTTTCTCCATATAAATATATTACATTTATTTTAGCACAAATAATTCTTGTATCATCTCTTGTAAAATTATGTGTCACTCTTTGTAACGACTTATAATCGATATCAAGAAGAATATTATTTTCTAAATATGCTTTTGTATGAAATAGAAATTCTTCGATATAGTCATCATGAACTTGGCGAATGTCAAGCTTAGGGTATGGGTGGGGTGTGGGTGTGGGTGTGGGTGTGACTTAAAAGAAGAGTAACAACCACACCCACACACTTTTTCAAAATCATCTGAAAATAGCTTCGTAGTGGAAGAGTAAGTTTATAATTCACTTAGAAACTTTTTATTAGTATTTGAGAAAGTTTCGTAATTCCTGGTTAGTGTTCTTTTGCTTCATGATTGATTTCAGTAAATAATGAGGTATGTTTGAATTTAGCAGTAAGTTTCTGTATCTTTTTCTTTGCTCGGTTCTTATGCTATGTCAAATTTTTTAATAAATTTGGATGTTCACTTCTTTGAAAATTTGGGCACACCTCAAATGCTACTCTAGCATGTTCTATCTGCAATACGTTTTCATGATTTACATTGTAATCAAAGCTGGTCAGATTTCTGAATACGTCATAACGTGACAAGGATTTCACCCATTGTTTCCTATATTTGCTGTGCAAACCAGTACTCGTTCGTCATTTCTTATGTTATATATGTTTCTTGCTTCTTGAAGGTAAAATTTGACTACGATATTTCATGAAATTGGCTATTTACTTCGAGAAAGTGACGCATACTAATCAATAGATTTATTTAGCCTTTTCGTATAAATATACGTGAGGGCATTTTAAAATACGTTTGAAGCACGATGGCATTCGATGGCTGCATGGTACATGATCGTGAGAATCGATTCTAAATTTTACTATATTGTTAATCAACTTCGTCATGATAAAAAATTCGATGTTGATATTTACCAACAACTACCAAAGCAATGTTGTTCATGTAATGGATGCCTATGTTAAAATATACAATGGACGTGCTTATGTTGCACAATTTGAAAAGTTCCGAAGAAATCAAATATCTCATATGACACTTGATTTGATTGCTGTGACGTAATTGAGATACAGTTACGCGATAAGTATGCACAAATGCGCATGATGGTGATGCAATTATGACATAATGAGATATTCCGATAGTCACCTAATGTGAACATCTTAAAAAACAATGGTCCGTATTGTCAAAGTACATTCGTAGTGTGAGTGTGATTATAGAGCAATCGAATATATTCGATGAAGTTGACCATGATTCACAATAATGATCTAAATAGTTTCTCGTGATTCATTATATATTTTTACTAGTGTGAATTATGCCCGGGCCAAAGTCGTTTGAGTATCTTGTTTCTATGAAGGATCACATGTTTATGTTATCAAAACAATACTATTTCAACAAGAGTTGAATCGAATTAAAATGTTCAAGAAAACAATAGGTTCGCTTAGTTTTATTTTCAATGTATGTCACGCATCTATTAAAATATTCTGATGTAGTTGAGCAAGCAGCTTTCCTACTTTTTCTCATCTTATGCATTGATATACATTTCTGAAATTAAATTAAATTTATGCAGTTTAGCAACCTTCGCATCGAAAGCAATTACTTAGGTGATTGAAGTTGCAAACAGAGAAAAAAAGAGAATAGAAGTAGTTTAATGATCCATTCTATAATTTATCGAGTATCTTCTCAAGTGCTTTTAGTTGAAAATATATCATTTCATCTTACTTTTCTCTATGCATCTAGAAAAAAAATATGCTAGGATTTCCGAAGACATCAAAGAAACTATAGCAACCGATAGTTGCATGGTACATAACCGTAATTAGCACCTAGATGTTGTTTGTGCAATGGAAAGAAAGTTAAATATCATTGATGTATGAATTTCTTATTAACTGTCGCATTTGTAAATTAATCTTGACTTTTTTCTCAATTGACTGATAATCTCAAATAAAATATGTTCACTTTCACTCTAGACTTGAATGTAATCAATCTATGTGATTAAATTGAATCCCAACGATCATTAAAACAAAAACCACAAGAGCCTGTTCATTATATTGTACTTTCATTCCAATCGACTCTTAACATAGAAGCTCGACGTATAAAACTTTGCCGTTTTGTCGGTAGAAATGGCCAACATTTACATGCTCTTGAAAAAGAAGTCAATATTCGTGTTGACATTGTCAATGAATCTTCTGGTGAAGAACTTCATCAAAAACTACTCGAATTAAGAGGCAATATTGAAAAAGAAAATGAAGTTAATATTGATGAGCTCTCAATGTTATTGATGAATAAAAACAAATTATTAAAGAACACAATGTCCATGGATGAGATCAAGCAAAAATTAGTAGAAGCATGGAACGCAATAATTGAATATGTGTTTTACAGCAACGACGGACTCTCAATGCTTTCATTATCAGAAGAATGCTATTGTTCTATGACTATGACTTATCACAGTGACTAGTAGTGATCGATACCGTCCGAAAAAGATATGCTAATTCACATAACATTCATATAGATAGAAAAAAAACATGTTTGTAGCAATACCGTATATGGTATACGTTCATGAAACTGTATTCTATCTATTTATACATGATTAATATGTACAGACTATTCATGTGGAACTTTTGTCTTCACAAATATATATATATATATTGAAATCTAAAATATGACTTAAGAAATCCCTCGAGAAGAGTGTCGGTGTGATTGTGTCGTGCAGATATAAGCGTGGAGTGTACATTTGGGTGTGAGGTCAATAGAAAAACAAACACCCATTCTAATACTCTTGATTGCAAGAATGAGTTGCTACACTTTTTCTTTCACATTATATGAGCATGGATTTTGTCAGAGCTGATGTCGATTTGGAAATCATTCGTAAAGACTTTCATTCGACTTCTTTAGATATTCTTGTCATAAAGGCTGCGACAAGCATGTCGAAGCATGCTATTTTATGCCACAAAAATTTGAATTTCGTGTTTTCTGTATGAAGTACTTGAACAAAATGAAAAAAAAATGATGTCCTCTCTGCTCATTCCCACATCAAGCAACATACCAAATTCAGTATGAACAGTGAAATAGAAAAATCAGAACGAATAAAACAAAGTTCTAGAATTTCTCAAGTTTAAAAACTTTCTGAAGTTGTAGAATATGTTAAAATAGATTACATCGCTGCTAATATAAAAGATATAGCTCAAAACAGAAATTTATTTTACACATTCACTTATTCCAATAGCTCGATCATATATAAAAACACGATGAGCTCAATTCTCTGAAAAATAAACAAAATCATTAGCTTCTTGCAAAATCACATATATTTGTCCCCATAAATAATAATCATGAAGAAACTCTAGCTCTGTAATGATAGTTCACGTATTTTGTCTAGGTGACAGTCTAATTTCTTTTTATGTTCAGTTGATATAAACTACCAAGGTCTTTTTCCTTGTTTGAAATAAATGCAACCACTATCATCATTATCACAATGCAATTTTGTAAGCATGGTTTTATTAGTTAATAAGTAGCATAAACCTTCACGATAATATGTTTTTCTAAATTATCGATTCGATCCATTAAAGTCTTTGGTAAAAATTCATAATAGGTGCATGATAAATCAATAACATTTGTAGTTAATTCATCGTTTTCCCATTTGTTCATCATATTCTTGGCATTCTTACATATGTCTTATGTAAAAATCTCGTCTTTTGTTTCATTTCAAGAATTTATCTTACGTTCTTTGATAACAATTTCATTTCTGCTGAATATCTAGACGATCGATTGTCACGTAATGCTTCTATTTTGTTTGTAATAGAGATAAATCACCAAATAACAAAAAGAGACGGGTATATACTCGCACGACTGCAAAGTCGAAGATGATAAATAAACATTCTAATGTCCCGCTGGTGAATATGTCAAAGTAAACGATGCTTCATGCTTCTTTTATTTCGATGTATTCAAGTATGAAAATATGTCCAATGCAGCAGAAATTATTTCAAAGTTGTTCTCGTATGCCATACGCTGCTGAGTATGACAGAATTTACTCACCTTTTTTCACAAAACTAGATTCGACTTGCCTG